CCTACAGAAACGTTTCTGGTGGATCGCCATCAACAGTTCGGGAGTGTAGCGCAGTACAAATAGCAAATAGAGGAATTTAATAACCGGATTCCCGACCTGATCCGAAGGGGAAAAAGTACAATCGTTCCTCGCCGGCATGAAGACCGAAGTCAAACGATAAGTGGCAGTGACGAATTCCACGAGCTGCAGTGACGTCGAATCTGTCGCGGAACGATTCGATATTGTCAACGCCGGAACACGACCGGTGTGCGTCGGCAGTACGCAACAGGGCGACAGCTCGGCACACCCCACGTTCGCCGACCAGATGGAGATCGACAGATTCGACGAGTGGTCACGTCCGAAAAACATCAATTCACGTGCAATGTTTGCACACTGCCAGGTTATCGAATCTTCGACTGCAAAAAAATGATGGCCGCACGTGCAGAGTATTGGGCCACAACGTGCACAGTATTAGGCACATGTCCCAGCACGGTCTAGTCACATGTCGCTTCCCACCTTGCCTGTGTCAGTTGCACCACTCTGCAACTCCGACAGTGCACTGCCCCTCACTCCTCGTTTCCTCCTACCACAACGCCGCTACACACACTGCACATGGACATCTGGGGCCCTGCCCCGGTCCATGGTCTTAGTCGGGAGCGCTAATTCCTCGTCGTCATTGACAAATTCTTGCGCTTTACCACAGTGTTCCTGTTGGAGTGAAAGACCGATGTGCCTACCTTTCTTCTCTCGTGGCTTCTTACTGTTCGCACCTAGCACCGCCTACCTGTAGGTCGCTTACACTCTAACCGTGGTGGCAAGATCGCTAGGACCGTGGATAGCAGACGAAATCGGCATGATGGTCTGAAAATCAGAACGGATTTTTTAGGTTCATCTGATTTGTAAGACCACCTATTTTATTTCGTCTAAATGTTAAGACGGGTGTTTAAATTTCATCTGAAAAAATAGACAGTGAGTTATATTTCATATGTGAATCTAGACAACACGTACACGTTTGTCTGATACTGACACATTCGCCTACTAGGCCTATGTATCTGGCTGAGGGACTTCACCGAATTTCTCTGTGTTGTGGGGGGTGTAAGAGCAATGTCACTGGGGGGTGAAAGAGCAATGTCACTAGTTTTGGGGACTAAGCCGAATTGTCTAGGCTACGACTTGCGAGGGGTGTGGGAGGAATGTTTATGGTTGTGCGGACTTGGCTGAATTTTCTGGGTTGCGAGGGTAGTTAGAGGAATGCCACAGAATCTTCTGGGTTGCGAGGGTAGTTAGAGGAATGCCACTGGCTTGGAAGACTTCACCGAAATTCCCAAGAAGTGGGATTGCGGGAGTGTTGTCTCGAGGTGCTGGCAAAGTAAATTCCGTGCTCATAGCAGTAAAAGGTGAGCTGGGGGATCGAGGAAAGCCTTCAATTCCTGGCAAAATGCCAAGGGAAATATTAAAGTTGGGGAGATTGAACCGAATATGGGAATGTGGAAGAAATGATTCTTGTCGACCCAGCTTAGCCAGGAGGATGCAGCCCAAAAACCACCCTGAAAAACTGGGTACAAAAATTAAACTTGGTCCGCTAGCAAACAAAACGTTCGGACAAAATCATCGACCGAGCCAAGGAACGCGGAGAGCCCCTCAACAAGCCCGCAAGGGTGGAAAAATCCGCCGTGCATGGAAAGTGCTAGGTGTGTGAATGTACATAGTAAAATAATACTATATTTTTGCGATAAACCATCGTCTGGATTTTCAGACACATGGATTATTTTCGCATAAAAAACAGACTCCTACAAAATTTTCATCTGAATGTCAAACGAAGGTAAAAATCTTGGTCTGATTATCAGACGGCCTAAAAATTAGCAAGGGCCCTGGAGATCGCCTCTAGCACTCTATGACAGTTTGGTCGTGTGGAGGGCATCCGCCAGACGTATGCCAGACTCCCCACAACAGAATGGAGTCGCTGAGCGACGCATTGGCCTAGTCATGGAGGTAGCTCGCACCTCCATGGACCACGCCAGTGCACCCCATTTTGTGTGGCTTTTCGCCATGCGCTACGCTGCTCACCAGCTTAACTTGTGGCCGCCCTCCCAGCGGCCACAGGTTTTGCTGACCCTTCCCTGGACCGGGTTTCTTGGTAACGCATCTGTGTTCAACATTTGGGGGCACCCTTTCTAACGTCCGCGACACTCGCGCAGACAGACTCTCAGCTTGCACCCTTCCTTGCGTCTTCCTTTGGTTTCCGCTTGACGCCTCTGACTGACTGTTCTACCATCCGTCTCACCACCGCTTTTACCACTCTCGTAACGTTACCTTCAACGAGATGCTCCCCTACTACAGGCGGTACCCTTATCACAGTGATCATGTGCCTCCTCCTCCTCTCTTCCTCATACCTTCCTCACCTACTGCACCCCTCCCACCCCACCCGGCCTCGTCTCGTGTTTGTCATGCCACTCCGTTCCCCTCGATCGAGCCCGTGGGGGAGTCGGCTGACTTTGGGGGCCCAGCTACTGGGGGCGCTCCAGCTGTTCCTATGGGGCCTCCCCCTGCCTCGGTACCCCAAGCACCTCAGCCGCCTCCCCCCTTGCCTTCGCAGCAGCCACAGCAGACTTAGGAGCCGCAAAAACAGCAGCGGTAGGGGGCAGTGAGTTCTGGGGGTGCTGGTGTTGCAGGTGGTGGTGTTGCGGGTGCTGGTATTGGAGGCGTTGTAGTTAAAGGTGCTGGTTCTGGGGGTACGAGTTCCGGGGGTGCTAGTTGTATGGGTGGTGCGTCCAGGGGTGCTAGGGGTGCTGTTTTGACGAGTGCCGGTGGTAGCCAAGGTGCAGCTGGAGGTTCTAGAGAGGACGGGGAGTAGCAGCAGCCGCCGCAACAGCAGGAGGAGCAGCCGCAGGTGCAGGCGCAGCCGCAACAGCAGGAGCCGCTGCAGTCTTCCCTTTGTCTTCTTGGTCTTGCTCCAGGTTCCCGTGTCCACCCAACTGTCCCTCCTCCGGTGCGTGACCTTGTTTACGACCCACTATTTCCTCCCCCAGATTCCTCTCTAGCTCGTTTTCCCCTGTGCTCTCCTCTGTCCCTTAACTTGTCTCCCCTCCCTCCTCGTCCCCAGTCCCCCGTTGTCTCGCAATGGGTCCATCATCCCTCTGGTGCTCGTCCTGTCTCTCCTAGTCCTAGTGTCCACCCTATGGTCCTTCGTTCGTGTGCTCCTGCAGTCCTGGTCCTTCCGTTGCCTTCCCAAATGCCGCTCCCGTCCTCTCCTAGTCCTCCCTCTGACTCTGCTTGCACTACTTGTCCTACCCCGTCATGCTTGCTTATGTCTCTTATCACTGACCCTACTGCTCCTCTTGAGTCTGTATTTGCGCTTGTCACTGCTATCGCTGACTTCGCTGCTAGCCACCGCCTTGACTACCCTACCGCTCTAGTCTCTCGTACTACCCATCCTCCGTCCGTCAGAGGTGAATCTGCCCTTGGCAGTGACGTGCTAGAGGACATGCAGTATGAGTTGGCCTACCTTGCTGCCGCTGTACCCCATATCTGCTTCATGCTTGTATCCCTAGAGGGCGGCCCAGACTGTGAGAGTACGACCCCGTTCCATTCCTTTCTCCTTTCCATCTTCCATTTTATTCCTCTTTTTATCCTGATTCATTTGGTCTTTGTCTCATCCCATTTGGATTCCTATTTCTTCTTTTCCATAAACCTTTGGTTTCTCCTGTTATTATCATTATATCACCGACCAGGCTCGGGATGTACTGGTACGCTATATCTAGCGTAATCCTGCCGTAATCCCTTAAAGCCAATAGCCTCGCGTGGCTATACGCAGGGTGATTCTATTTTCTAGAAGGGTCTATTCTGTTAGGATAAGACAAACCTGGTTACCTGATGTACTTTGGAAGTATAAAAGCACCTTGTATCATTCGATAGTGCAACCTTTCCTCGACGCATTCGATCATGTAACACTGACGATCTCGTTATCCCTGTTCCGCGCTCTTACGCTGAGGCGGTATCAGGACCCTGGGCAGCCCATGGGATAAAGGCCATGGAGGCTGAGATGGCATCCTACAGATCCAGAGGCACTTACGTCAACACGGTTCCCTCGTCTGGGATGAACGTAGTCCATGGCATGCGGTTCTAAAGGGTGATGTGCGCACCTGAAGTTCAAGGCGCGTTACGTGGCTAGAGGCTTTAGACAATGGGAGGGTGTGGAATTTTTCCAGACCCTCTCCTCTTCCTCAAAGATGACTACTCTTCGGATGCTCCTCAACCAAGCCGAGCAGCGTGACTACGAGCTTCACTCACTTGAGTTCTCTACAGCTTTCGTGCAGAGTAGTCTGCACAAGCAGATTTACCTCTGGTGCCCTCTAGGCCTCTCTGGGTCTTAACCACCTAGGACCCAGTAGAGCCTATTTTGTTGTGTGACGTCATCATATGCTATCACATTCTGTCTGCCTCCCATCCCATGTTTTCAACTTGCATGTGTGGTTTGAATGTGCAAGCATTTGTGTGGTGTGTGTTCTGGAGTTTGGGAATGTGTTCTGTGTTATTTTTGTTTGAGCAGGTATTTGTGATGATAGATCTTGAGAAGATCTTTCCGACGCAACGAGAATCCCTTCAATCGGAGCAAGAACGCGAAAGCTATGAAGATTCAAAGTTCATGAGCTTGCGTTACAATTGCGGCGGTTACAAAGTGAAGTTGTGGGGTGACTTTATATGGAGTTGGGACCTTTGGGGTTGGGGAAATTTGTCACTCTACTGTAACAGCTGCAAATTGGTTGGGAACAACCAAGCTAGGTTGGCAAGGGTGGCCAACTTGGATGGATTGGTTGGGAAGGGACAAAGGTCAAAGTTGAGGTTCCTATAGGGAGGGAATCTTTGTGCTTATGGGGTTTCCTTGGTTGGGAACTCTCTTGGGACCTTCCCTCTCATCTCTCTCTTCTATCCCAACCTTTCTCTTGCTCCTCTAATTTCTTGTGAGATTCTTGAACCTTTATTGAACCTTTTGAGATTGAGTTAAGTTCTCCTCCTACAGCTTACCCCCTAATGCGTCGAAAGCCATAACGTCGCGAATACTTCATCAATCAACGTGATTCAAATTGGGAACGGTAGCTGAGATTAAGAGCTACAACATATTCAAGTTTCGCGACATTCCAACGGCTAGTTTTTAGTCGACGTCGTTTCTTGTGAAGACGACTTTTCTGTCCAGAATTTCGGATTTATATTTTGAGTAATTCTAGCTCCTAAGTTCACCTAGACTCCGTCCTTAATCCTAACATATTTCAGAACTCAGTCACTAACCAGTGACTTAAAATGGCTTGTTAATTACCGGGTGAGTGCGCCCATAACCCCCCAGTCTCTGCACATGTAACCCTTCCACGAGGAGCAAGGGCAATCCCAGCGTGTATCTTGACACCCCCACCTCGCTGGGATAGGCCGAAGACACAATCGCCTCTGCAGCGTTGGCACTTCCAGTTCTGCCCACTAGAAATTGGACCCGAATCACCAGGCTTTGACACCATATCAGAACTCAATCACTAACCACTGGGTTAAAGGGGCTTGTTAAGTAGCATGCGAGTGCACCCATAAACCCCCAGGCTCTGCACCTATAACCCTTCTCCGAGTAGCAAGGGCAACCCCAGTGTGCATCTTGATAGCCTACGCCGCCCTGTTTATGACTTTCGTAAGTCACCCCATGAGTGGCACGACACGCTTCGCACCACACTTGCTGAGTTGCATTTCTTTCCGTCCTCTACTAACCCCTCCTTTTTTATTTGCATGGGTCAGACCCCGTTCTACATTCTAGTGTACGTAGACGATCTTATTTCTACTCTTCCTTACAGAGACGCACTGGCCTCAGTGAAGGCTGAGTTCCTTAGGACGCACACCTGTACAGACTTGGGGGAGCTGAGGCGCTGTGTGGGCTTGGAGATATCTCGTGACCTTGCCGCTCTCACGATCACACTCTCTCTGTCCCATATGGTGCTGCCGTGCAGCTGTGTCGTCGTCAGCCGCTGCAACCGTGGTGATGGCGAGCGCTGTCCTCTGCCTGGATATGGAGGGTTGGGCTGTCAACTTCGAGGCGTGGCTTGCCAACCTCCGCCGCCAGCTGAGGGGTCAGTGCCAGGACAGCCAGTCCCTGGCCGTCCACGTCGACAGTAAGCTCCCCTACCCGCCTACTGTGCTCCCTGACGACCCCACGCTCGCTGAGCGTGAGGCCTTTGCAGCTGCTGAGCTAGCCCGCTCTGCCTGGGAGTCGCGCGACGCAGTTGCTCAGCTTGCGATCAGTCACGCCCTACCCCTGTCCGAGCGTCCCCGCTTTCAGACCATAGAGACTGCGCGGGAGTACGTAGATGCTGTCATTGCGCGCTACTCCACTCCTTCCTCCGCCTCTACCGACCGTCTCCTGCTCCACCTGCTCTTTCCCGTGCTTGCGTCATTCCTCACTGTCGTTGATCTTGCTACCCATCTGCACGCGCTTGCGACTAGCTACCGCACTGCTAGCACTGAGGCCCAGCTCACTGTCCAACCTTCCCCCCTCGGCGCTACCCTGTACTTCTTGCCACGCACCTTCCCGCCCTCCTAGCCACTGCTCGCGATCACTTCCTAGGTCTCCACCTAGCTGACCTCACCCTTACTAAGTTTGTGACCACCCTGTCCGCTATAGAGACCCGCCAACGTGCTATCGCTCACTCTAGAGGTACTACGCTGGTCCCTATCTTCCACGGGTGTGCTCCCTCCCAATGCACTTACTCGGACGTTTCCGCCGCGGCGGCCTCAGCGCAGCCTCCTCCGGGTAGGGGCCAACGTCCGAATGGGGGGCGTGGCAGCGGTGGCGGCAGTGGTGCACGTGCCGGTGGTGCAGAGAAGGGGACTGGGCCTAATGCCTCGGAGCAGCAGCAGCAGCAGCATCTGCTGCAACCGTGGGGCGTCGAACCTCCTGTTCTTTTTAGCCTAGGCTCCACGCTAGTGCCCCCGACGGCTGACGCTACTGCTGCGCTCTCCTTCACAATGGACTCTAGTGTGTCTACTTGCATCTTTCGCCACCGCACTATGCTCACGCTGCTTGCCGCCCCTGCCGCTGTAGCGCTCGCTGACCCCTCCCAAGGTCTGGTAGTTGCACGCAGCTCCACCACCCTTCCCTGTTCGGCAATTCCTTCAGACTCCCTTACAGGCTTGCACATCCCCTCGTTCTCCAGGAATTAGTTGGTGTCGGCTCTCTTCACGACCTCAGCGTCACCACTACGTTTCCTGGCCATGAGCGGTGCACAGTCTGTATCGAGGCCACCACTGGTGCCCCCCTCACCACGTTCCCCCCGGACCCGGTGTCTGGCCTGTTCACGCTAGACACCACGCCCCCCCCGGCAGGGGCGTCCCTCTAGGTGGCTGCGTCTACCCAGGTCGCCGTGGCTTGTGTGTCTGTCGCTCACTCACCCGCCGCTTCTGTGGTACCAGCACCTCAGTCACACTGCTCTCCTGTGTCTGCGTCACATGTCCCAGCATTGTCTTGTCTTAGGTCTCCTAGCGTCGCTCCCTACCCTCCCTCCCTCGCCCGTGCCTCAGTGCACGCCTCGCGTCGAGGGCCGGCTGCGCCATGCTCCTCACTCCTCTTCGTTTCCCCCCACTACTTTGCCACTCCAGACCCTGCACTTGGATGTCTGGGGCCCAAGGCCCTTCCTCGGGCCGCGTCGTGAGCGCTACATTCTGGTGCTCGTCGATGACTACATACGCTACACCACGATGTTTCCCCTGGAGCGGACCGCTGACGTGCCTAACGCTCTTATCCCGTGGGTCGTAGCTGCGCGAGTCTACTGCGGCCTCCCTGTGCTGCGTCTCCACTCCGCCCGTGGTGGCGAGTTGCTCGTACCTCCATGATTCATGCCGGTGCACCCTGTTTTCTATGGCCGTTCGCTGTTCGCTACGCTGTTCACTAGTTTAACCTGTGGCCGCACTCTTAGCGGCCGCAAGTTTTGCCGACCCTCCTCTGGACCGGGTCCCCTGGTGACGCGTCTGCGTTCCACGTCTGGGGCTGCCTCGCTCACGTTCGTGCCTCTGGTACGGACAAGCTCACTGCCCGCACCGTCCATTGTGTCTTCCTTGGCTCCCCCCTAGACGCGTCTGACTGGCACGTTTACCATCCGCAATCTCTTCGCTTCTTTCACTCTAATAATGTCACATTTGACGAGCTTGTCTCCTTCTACGACGGCTTTCCCCACCGAGGTCTCCTGGTTACACCGCGCTTGTTTCTAGTCCTCACTTCTCCGGTAGCCTTCGCTCCTCTCCCTCCTTGCCCTGCCCCGTCTGGTGTGTCTCACGTCACTCCCCTCCCATTAGTTGTCCCGGTGGAGGAGTCTGCTGACTCTAGTGTCCCTGCGGCTCGGGTTTCGCCGCCTGTCTCCGCCACTGTGTCTCCTCCTCCGTCGTCGCAGCAGCAGCCGCCGTTGCCGTCGTAATAGCAGCCACCAGCGCTGCCATAGCAGCAGCCATTGTTGCCGCTGCAGCAGCAGCCGCCGCCACCGCAGCCGCAACAGCTCCACGAGCTCTAGGGGTGTGGGTGGTGGGGCGGGTTCTAGTTCTTGGGATGCTGGTTCTGGGGGTGCTAGTCCTAGGGGTATTGTCATGGCTGGTCCCGACGGTCGTGGGGTTGGCACCGGTGCTGGAGAGGGTTCTCATTCTAAGGGCGCTGGCTCTGGGGGTTCTAGTCCTAGGGGTACTGTCATGGCTGGTCCCGGCGGTCGTGGGGGTGGCACCGGTGCTGGAGAGGGTTCTCATTCTAGGGGCGCTAGTTCTAGGGGTGCTAGTCCTAGGGGTACTGTCGTGGCTTGTCCTGGCGGTCTCGGGGGTGGAACCGGTGCTGGAGAGGGTTCTCATTTTGGGGGTGCTGTTGTGGAGCGTCCCGAAGGTAGTTGGGTGCGGCCGGAGGCTCTGGTCTTGGCGTGGTGCAGCAGCCGCAATCACCGCCGGTGTCTGCCCTTCGCCTCCTCGTCCTTCCCTCCCCCGACCACCCGCCTGCACCTCCCTCACTGCCGCCACCCCTGTCTGTCTACGGCCTTGTGTTTCCTCTGCCGGACTCGTCTCCGGCTTGTCTCCCCCCTCATTCCCCTCCTGTGTCGACCCCTGTGTCTCCTGACCCGACGCTTCCTTCCCACTTCTAGTCTCGCCGTCCCTCTCGTGCTCGTCCTGTCTCTCCGGTTCAACGTTCTCACCCTATATTGTTCCGTTCTTACGTGTCTCATGCTCCTCTTCTCTTGTCGCCTCCTCCGTCGTCGCTTGTTGTCTCTCCACCTTCTCACTTGGAATTCCTTTGTGCGGCTAGATTTCTTGTTCCTAGGTCCTCGCCTCTCTTGTTGCCGATCCGTCCATTCCTGTTTCGAGTTTGGACTCTCTTGTCATCGCCGTTACTGATTGAGCCTCTACCTGCCGCCTTGATTACGCTACTGCTCTGATCTCTGGCCCTGCCCGTGCTCTGTCCATCGGGGGTGCACTTGCCCTTGGCAGTGACGTCCTAGAGGACAGCCAGTACGAGCTCGCTTTCTTGAATGAGGCCACGCCTCATCTCTGTTACATGCTGCTAGTCCCTGAGGGTGATACAGACGCCCTTAACATCCCGACCCCTTGCACCTATGCTGAAGCGACCCCAGGACCCTAGGCCTCTCAGTGGATAGCTGCAATGGACGCGAAGATGGCATCTTGGAGATCCACCGGAACCTACGTCGACGCAGTTCCCCCACCTAGGATGAACGTAGCCGATGGCCAGTGGCTCTATAAGGTGAAGTGCCCTCCTGGAGTGCCGCCGTTATTCAAGGCGTGCTACGTTGCTGAAGGGTTCAATCACAAAAGGGTGTTCACTTCTTTCAGACCTTCGCCCCCACCCCAAAGACCATTTTTCGGGCGCTGCTTCACGTAGCAGTACAGCGCGACTACGAGCTGCACTCTCTTGACTTATCCACTGCGTTTCTCAAGGGCAGCCTGCATGAGTAGGTCTTCCTATGCCGACCACCGGGCTTCTCTGGTTCTTTCCCTCTTGTGACCCAGTGGCTCCTCCGGCGCCCTGTTTACGGCCTGCGTCAGGCGCCTCGTGAGTAGCGCGACACGCTGCATGCTACGTTAACTGACCAGCAGTTCTTCCCGTCCTTTGCAGACCTTCGCTCTTCGTTCATTAGGGCCATACCCCATTCTATATCCTTGTTTATGTAGACGAATTGCTCTTTGCTAGTGCAGAGAGAGATGCACTGGCCTCCGTGAAGGATGAGCTGATGAGGAGACACACCTGCACTGACCTAGGAGAGTTGCGCGGCTACCTTGGCTTGCAGATCTCTAGGGATAGAGCAGCGCGCACCATCACTCTCACACAGTCACACTTGGTGCGCCAGGTCCTTTAGAGGTTCGGTATTTAGTTCTCCTCCGCATAGCCCACACCTCTGCTAGTAGATCACATGCTCTTGGCTCCATTCCCTGACGAGTTAGTAGAGCCCAGTGGTCCGTACGCTGAGCTGGTTGGTTGCCTCGTATACCTAATGACTTGCACTCATCCAGAACTTGCATACCCTATTAGCATCCTGGCTCGCTTTGTGGCTACAGGCCGACACCGACCGCAACATAGGTCGGCCGCTAAGAGGGTTTTGCATTATCTAGCAAGTACATCGGGCATGGGGCTAGTGGTAGGAGGACGCAGGCCAGGGTCCTTACAGGGCACACAGACGCTTCATGGGCAGACGACGTTGAGACCCTCAGGTCCTCCTAGGGCTACTACTTTAGCCTTGGTGGAGGCGCCATCTCGTGGAGGTCCACCCGCTTGTCGTCTATTGCCCAGTCCAGGTGGGCGGTTGATATCTACGCTGGTGCCATGACGGCACAGAAGCTTCGCTGGCTGACATTCTTGCTCACAGACTTACTGTAGGTGAGCGGCCTAGCTCTGCCCCTGTCTTGTGCGTTGACAATAAGGCCATGATTCTCCTGTGTCAGGAGCCTCGACTAGAGGGCAGAGTGAAGCACAACCAGCTGCAGTACTTCCTCCTGCGCGAGCTACAGCAGGTCCGCCAGGCTCGCGTAGTACACTTGGCCTCCGGTGCCAACACAACTGATATCTTTACTAAGGCGCTTGCGCCTAAAGATCATCAGCGGCAATGTGTATAGCTTGGTCTAGTTCCAGTAGCTTATCACTTGCTAGGACCCTACTTGTGTACTACTCCTTATATTATCTTGACTCGCCTTCCCCTTTTCCAGTGGCTGGACTAGTAGTGTCGCCCTGTTTTACTCTTGTTTAGCTTGTACTCTTGTTGACTAGACTTAAGACCCTTGCCCCAGAGGTTGCACTAATAGTGCCGCCCAGAGCTGCGTGTCTCTTGCTAGGCACTGCCCCTTGTCTAGCCTAGTGGGTGTGTTAAATTATACATATTTGTATATGTAGCAGTTATAGGCTAGAAGGGTTTGTACTCTTAGAGAGTACAACACCTAACCATATATTCCCTTGTATGCTTTCATTCTAGTCATTCGGTTACTCTGAGACGCACTACCGCCTCGTAACCATCAGCGGTTCTATACTCAACTTGGTCTAGTCTCAGTACCAGCTCCACTCCTTGTATCCTGATCTATTCTAAACAGGCTTGTACTTGCTATTCTATACCAGCATATCCTGTTACACCTACTGACTAGCATTGTGGCCTCTTGTCTAAGTGGTCAAACTTGTAGTAGTGCCCTGAGTTGTCTTATTACGTACCTTCACGAGAGGCCAGACTAGTTATGCTGCCCTGGTTTGTTCTTGTTTGTCAACCGCTGCCTCTATCTAGGCTAGGGAGTGTGTCAACTAACAAACAAATATTTCGTAGTTAGGATATGTTTGTTAGTGTATCGTAGCTAGGTCAGCTCTTAGAGGGTCCCCTTGTACTTGTATCTCATCTCCCACTTTCTAGTCCACTTCACTCTCGCTATTCTAACACAGTTGGCCTCAGAGGCCAACACTACTGATAACTTCACCAAGGTGCTACTGCCTCATGACCATCAACGATTTTGTACGCTGCTAGGTCTCGTCTCAGTAGCCACTCCTCTCCTTGGATCCTTATCTATACTATACCAGCTTGTACTTGTTGTTCTGTACGTGCTTGTCTTGTTACACTTGACTAGTAGTGCTGCCCTGGTTTGTTCTGCCTTGTTATACACTCCCACCATCTAGGGCAAGGGGCGTGTCAACAAATATACATTAGCTAGTTACTATATATTATTATATCCTAGCTAGGTTAGTTAATAGGGGGTACAAACCCACTCTTGTACAACCCTCGACATTCCCTTAGTAAGTTTGTTTGCGCTTTCTGTAAGGAATTTTCCATTCCTTACCGAGCGGTACTGCTATCGCGTACGCTCGAACACACCCGAAGCCTCGGGACAGTTCCGGACCTTTCTGACAGAACCGCCTCGGCTTCTCCAGACCTTCTAGTTCGACCTTCGGGAGTTCTCCGAGACTCGCTTCGTCACTTCAAGACCCTTCGATCCCTTTCCCGAATCTTCACATCTCATGGTTAGACTAGCTCTGGTGTTCCTATATCTTGGCTTGCCATTCCTTGTATCGTTATTCAGTGATTGAACACTTCGTTATTCATTTCCGCGCTACTCTGCTTGTTCATTCATAACACCTGATATTCAAAGCCACTTTCCTCGCTCACCCGTTTTCGTGATTTGATTTTTTGGAGAGGGGGGGGGGAGGCTAAGTCCCTCACGTAAGGTGCAAAGCAATTGCTCGCGAATTAGATTGATTAATTCGCCCAACTACGATAGCGTTTGCGCTTACCCGAGTACAGGCACACAACGGATTTCCCCCTGCCCTGGCAGAGCATGCGCCAAATGGACCAAGCTCAGTTCAACGAGCCTCGGGAGCAATTCAACGCCATGAACACACGCATGGCTACAGTGCTGGAAGACAACAAGCGACTTCGTGCAGAAGTTGCCGAGTTGCGCCAGGCATGAGAGGATTTGCGCTAGAAAACTGCTTCCCAAGAGGAGGTCGCCAGTACCGGACGTGTCGAAACGGTTTTGGAAGAAATCGCATGTGAGGTGTCACAAGAGCGCAAGGACAGCGAAGCCACCGCCGCAGCTGACGTGGCAGCACGGGCAGCAACCAAAGCAGCAGCAGCAGCAGCAGCAGCAGCAGCAGCAGCAGCAGCAGCAGCAGCAGCAGCAGCAGCAGCAGCAGCAGCAGCAGCAGCAGCAGCAGCAGCAGCGACAGCAGCAGCCGCCCGGTCAGAAGCAGCCGCTACTGTAGCCACACGGCATTCGTGCCGATAGTGACGACCGCGATGATTAAACCGACGATGCCACGCCTGTTCAACCCACAGATAGGAATACTAGGGTTACGGGCTGGTTATTTTCGGCGGAACTTTATTTTAATGCCGTTGGGATCACTGCTGACGATTTAAAAATTCGGCTGGCTGTATCATTACTGTGGGGACCTGCGCTAGATTGGTGGCGATATACACTACAGGAGGGGGAGTTTTCGGCAGGCGACACACAGGGGTTTTTCGGAAACTTTGGGTCTGCTGCCCAAGGGTCAACCACAATTTTCGGATTGACCAAGATTCGCACGTGGAAGGCGTGGGGTACAGCTCTGCGTGAACAGTTCGAGCCCATATCCACCTCGGACAACGCACGTACGAAGCTGGACAGCTGGCGCCAGTGGAGTTCTGTCCAAGATTACGTGTCGGTCTTCATGGCGTTATGCGATCAAATCACAGACATGCATGACCCCGAGAAGAAAGCTTGATTAATTTCGGGTTCGAAGCAGGACATTAAATAAGAGGTCCGACTGTGACTACCGGCGACGTTTCACGAAGCAGTCCGGATCGCAGACACTTTCGACGCACATAGGACGTATGCGAGAGCGGGTTCCCGGGAGGGAAATCGTTTCCGTGGCCAGGATCCATGGCCCACGATTCACGGCATAGTGGCGAAGGAGCACATGGAAGATTTTTGCAAGGGACAATGTTTCAACTGCCACCAGCCGGGTCACCAATCTCACAATTGCCCCTAAAGGAAGCAGATAAAGGAGAACGACGAAGGCATGTCGGAAAACGCCAAGCGTCAGTAGCGGTCCGGCCCCCTACTGACCCTGCCTCATCGCCCGAGAAACACCATTCCCACCGGATAGTGGTCCCGATACACGCTATCAACCGCTCCCAGCTGAATAAGGGGGATGACCGAGTGGACCACCCTGTACTGGCGGAGGGACGACTCAATGGAAGAAAAATAGAAATATTCATCGACGGAGGGGCGAGTCACAGCCTGATAAATCGAGAGACAGCATGAAGACTACACCTATTGCTGGAGCGGTGTCTACCCGAAATCGACGCACGACTGGTGAACCCGCTGGCGATCCGCGACAAAGTACCCATCGTCCGAATGAAGTATGGCAAAGATTTGGTTTCAGCGCGCCAATGCTGGCGACAACACTCGATGGCTACGATGTACTGTTGGGACATGATTGGCTGCGAAGATTCAGTCCGCAGATCGATTGGACGACAGGCGAGTGCAGAGTGAAGTGTGAAAAGGGCTGGCGAAAATTACCCATGTGGCCGTAACCAGAGACAACATCGACACGAGTCAACGCGGTGTGCCTCAAACGAGCGGTCAAGAATGGAGCGGATTTATACGCCGTCCATCTAACCGAATCGACAGAGCAGAACGAGGCGACCGACATCAACAAACTCTGCGCTTTGGTCCCGGATGACTTGGCAAAAATCATTCGGGAATATCCCGAGATTTTCCCGGACGACTTGCCAAGTGGACTGCCACCCGAACGACCCCATGACCACAAAATCAAGCTAGAGCCCGGCACGCAACCTACTGTACGAACTCAATGGCGCGTGACTCAGCCGGAGCTACACGAATTACGGAACCAGCTGGACTACTTGTTGGGAAAAGGGTTTATTCGGCCGAGCACGTCCCCGTTCGCAGCGCCGATCCTGTTCACCCCAAAGAAGGACGGCGGACTTCGCATGTGTACGGATTATCGTGCCCTTAACCGGGTAATGATAAAATCGCGCTACCCAATCCCACACACAGACGAGCTGATTGACAACCTTCGCAGAGCTCGCTAGTTTTCGAAGATCGACCTTCATGGGGATTACCATCAAATTCGGGTGTTCGCTGACGACTGCCATAAGACCGCGTTTCGGACTCGCTACGGGAGTTACGAATACACGGTGATGCCGTTTGGATTAACGAATGCCCCCTCGACGTTCCAACTCACCATGAACGGGGTGTTCCGCAATCTACTCGACAAATGCGTGATAATTTACTTGGACGACATCCTCATTTACAGCACGACCTGGGAGAACATCTGAATGACCTGGAAGCGGTTTTTCAGCGGCTGCAGCAGCATCGTCTCATCACCAAGGACTCCAAGTGCGAGTTTTTAAAGTAGGAACAAGAGTTCCTGAGGCACGTAATCTCCACAGAGGGGATACAAATAGACCCGAAAAAACTCCGGCTATTCAAGAGTGGAAACCGCCAACAAACCTGCAGCAGCTGCAATCCTTTCAGGGTTTTGTGAATTATGTGCAGCGTTTTTTTCCCAACATGGCGAGGTTAACTGGACCTCTAACCGACCTACTACAGAAGGGGACTTTTTACGAGTAGGGGGAGAAGCAGTAACCTGCATTCGAGGCGTTAGAAAATCTTTTAACTTTGCCACCGGTACTTCGCATCGCTGACCCGAAACGACCCTTCGAAGTCATCACCGACGCGAGTGACATCGCCATCGGATTTGTCCTCATGCAAGATTTCAGCAATGGCCTTCAACCAATCGCATACGAGTCTCGCAAAATGCAATCTGCCGAGCGCAACTACCTGGTACACGACAAGGAGATGTTGGCGATTGTCCACGCGTTCAAAGTCTGGAGGTGCTACCAGATTGGAGCAGACGTGACGGTGCGAACCGATCATAAATCTCTACAGTACCTGAGAGCGCAGCCGAACCTCAACCCGCGGCAGATACGCTGGCTGGACTATCTGGAGTCCAACTTCACGTACAAGATCACGTAAAAAAAGGGTGCTAACAATATTGCAGACGCCCTTTCTAGACCGTCTGCCCAACTCGCAGCAGTACTAGTCGCCCAGAGCAACCCACTATTGAGTGGACTATTTACCCACGAGTATTCGACTGACCCTTTCTTTCCAAACGACGACCATCTCCCAATCACTACACGGAAAGGCGTCTATTACGTACAAAGCGGGACGGATCGAATTTTGGTCCCAAGTTATCGTCTACTTCGCGAATTACTAACTCAAGAAGTCCACGATTCGAATTTATCGGGACATTTCGGGCTCAGTACGGCACGCGCCTTCAGTTCTCATTTGCTTATCATCCCCAAACGGGCGGTCAGACAGAGAGGACAAACCAAACGATGGAGCAGCTGATTTGGACAAACTTTCCCGACCGAAACAAATGGGAGGACGCGCTTCGCATGTTGGAATTCTCCTACAACAACGCGCCCTCAGCCACGACTAATCACTCCCCGTGCTACCTCAATTACGAGATGGACCCTACCGTACGTATCTCCACCAATGTCGACAGTCAAGTACCACGGTCGCAGCAATTCGTCGAAGAATTACAGACTGCCTAAGACAAAGCTGTCGAACTTATTCGCAAGGCGAACGCTACTGCCCGACGGTATGTGGATTTACTGTACATCGAGGGGATATAACAATGGCAGCAGGGCAACTAGTCCTTTTGGACACCAAGAATTTACGACTGCCACTACCGACGAAATTACGACCACGATTCTGTAGCCCATTCAAGATCATAAAGATGGCGACGTCGGTGACCGCCCAGTTGCGCCTACCTGACGATTGGCGTATTCACAACAAGTTCCATGTGAGCCTGTTGCGACACTTCGTACCCGACACATCGGACATCGCCCGACAGCGATTGGTCCCAGATATACGGCCACCAGCAGAGACGACCATCGAACCTTCAAAGATTTTGAGCCATCGGATTCATATCGACGGCCAAGGACGACACGTTGACTTTCTGATACGATGGACCAATCGTACCAGTGAGGACAACACGTGGGTGCCCTCGGACCAGATACAGCCACCTTAGATACTTGCGAATTATTTAGCCCCCAAGCACGTGACTGGTATAGATCACCTTCGCTAAGGGGGGGGGGGGGGGTGGGTGGTGTATGGAATTTTCCATTCCTTACCGAGCGGTACTGCTATCGCGTACGCTCGAACACACCCGAAGCCTCGGGACAGTTCCGGACCTTTCTGACAGATTCGCCTCGGCTTCTCCAGACCTTCTAGTTCGACCTTTGGGATTTCTCAGGGCCTCGCTTCGTCATTTCGAGACCCTTCGATCCCTTTCCCGAATCTTCACATCTCATGTTTAGACTAGCTCTGGTGTTCCTATATCTTGGCTTGCCATTCCTTGTATTGTCACTCAGTGATTGAACACTTCGTTATTCATTTCCGCGCTACTATGCTTGTTCATTCATAACACTTTCTAACGCATATAACCACATACGCTCGCGCAAACTGAGACGGAATCTTTTTCGAGGCGGCTGGCATGGATCTTCTGGTCATGTCGGTGTATCAAGCGGGCCCCACGATATCAGGAAAAAAACGTTGATTTCACTTTTTGTCAAGGTGCTTTACCATACCGATGCTGAGAAATCAGTGTTCAAAATTGAAAAAACTGGGCCAACTAGAAAACTAGTAGAAATCCTGTTTTTCAGGGTGTTTTCTGGGGTCATCACTGATAAATCAGTGTGGCCTGAAACGAATCCAGGGGCCTGGTATCAATTACCGTGCACAATTTGCCCAACCCTCTAAACCAGGCCCTCAGATTCGAATTCAGGCACCCTGAGCCCTCAGGGTTCACCCTCTGAAAAGCGTGCACCCCTCAGGGTTTGAGCGCTATGCACACCTTGTTCATACAGGGCATTTTCAAGACAGGACCCTGAGCTGACAGGGCACTTTTTGAAGTGCAGCTTTTCGTTACAACCAACCTCACAATGTTTATAAAACATATGCACGCACAGTATGGCAGAGTAGTACATCATTCGTTACGGTTTAGACACATCAAATTAGAAATTTCCTTCATCATCAGAGCTAAACCCACAGCTACTGTCACCATCATCATCCTCTGGCTCACCACCATCCTCCTCTCTCTCGTTGTCTGATGCATGCCCTTGCTTCTCCTTGCCCTTGTCGCTCCTTGGGCGGACACGGGACTGCTCTTTCTTCTTGCTGGGACGGCGCTTCTTGGTTTTGCGCCACAGGTCAACAACCGCGCCCAAATCCATGTCATAGTCTAGCATGCTCATGCACATGAGATCTGACAGCTTGCCGATGCAGAGACTGGTTCGTTGCCAACTTTTGATCACATTTTGCCTGCTGAAACCTCGCTCACATTCGACAGTGCTGATGGGGAGAACAGCGACAGCCACCCACGGGCGAACCAAGTTGGGGTAGCTCTTGGGCCAGTCACTAGTCTGCAGCATGGCCGCCAAGCCATCATGAAAGCTGCGCTCTCCACGTGGAGCCCCTTGAAGCACGGGCACCAAGGTCTTCAGCTCTTTCCTTGCTGCTCTCTTGTCCACTCCTGCCACACACACAGCACAAGAAAAGAAGTGAAATATACGAGTATCAGGCTTCCACAGCCTGGCAGTAAGCACAAAGCAAGCACAAAGCCCGGCAGCAAGCCTGGCAGCAAGCACAAAGCCCGGCTGCAAGCGTGTCAGCAAGCACAAAGCCCGGCAGCAAGCACAAAGCCCAACAGCAAGCTTGGCAGAAAGCACAAAGCCCGGCAGCAAGCTCAAAGCCCGGCAGCTACCGGTATGTGAGGCATACCTGGCAGCACTTCTCTTTTGTCACCCGCATGGAACATGCCGATGACTGACTCCAAGTGCACCGTGCACAGCTCATCCCGCGCCTCTGTGTTCCGGGGCCAAGTATCAGGCATCCACAGCCTCACTCCGTTCAAGTTGTCGAGGTCGCCGAGTTTCTGCCCCAAGTTGTCGACTGCTGCCTTCGCAAACACTCTGCAAGGGTCAAAGCAAGACTCCAAATCCCCCGGGATCTCGCTGTATCCCGGAAGCTCCTTCTCGTGCAGCTTGAACTGGTGCACTCGCGGCCGACCTTCCTTGTCAACTCCCTCCACGGTCACCTTGCGACTGTTGGTCGACCCATGTCGCGAGAGAAATGTGGCCAGGCGCTTGCTCCCGTCACCCCCAAAACGCTCGCCACAGGTGATGTAGCGCTGACGGATGTAGACTCAGGTGCGTCTGACCAGAGATCCCACTACCGTGAGGTCCACCTGAGTGGAAGGGAGGAAGGTACGAAAAAAACAGGGGAGTAGTGAGTAGTATTTCCAAAAACTTTAACGCATACGTACATTGCAGTGGCCTACCTCTCGAGTCTGGAATGCCAAGTTGAGGTTGTTCAGCTCCTCCAAAATATCTGCTAGGAAGAACAAGTACACGTGAAATTTGAGCGATGTAACCACGTGATACATCTTCGTGTCATATTCCAGGAGGAGAACAATCACAGCGGGCAGCACTTCGACAAGCCTAAGCACAGCCATGCCACGGCTGAGCCACCTAACGAGGTGGATGCCTTGAAGCTCTAGGTTCGTCATTGAGAAGATCGCCTGCAGCTCCTTGAACAGCAGTTGAACAGCACGTCTCCAGGAGTGCGATGACCCGTTCCTTCACGATGTCGTACGCTGACGGACAATCCTCGATTCGTTGTTGCCCCTTTGTCAGCTTCTCCGCGATGGCCTGATTCCGCACTGCTCGCTTGTGTTTCTTGGTGCGCTGGTGATTCCGGAACGCTTTTGTCTGGACATCAACCGCTCCTTCACCCCCGCGACCGTAGTTAGTTCCGGGACCTGCATGATGCATGCACACACTGCACCTCACAGAGGGGAACCCGGCCTTAGTCTGACACAGCACAAGCCATGGGAAGTCCGAGGACCACTCCTTCTTGAACCGGAAAAGCGCATCTTGATACTTATCCTCTGCCTCGTCGACGATGGGCATTGAGTCTGAAGATGCGGCAGGGGAAGTGGGCCCAGATTCGGCAGGCAGCGTCACGGTCGGCGTGGGAGGTGGTGCTACCCACGTACGCCCAAAGCTGAGAGTGACTTGGCGGTACCGGGCACCGAGCAGCTTCTTGGACGTGATGGGACCCATGCGGGTTGCACCATGCGCCAACGATGTCACACTTGCTGTTGGAACTGGTGCTGCTGCTATCGGCGCGGCAGGAAATGTTGCTGCTGGAACTGGCGCTGCTGCTATCGGCGCGGCAGGAAATGTTGCTGCTGGAACTGGCGCTGCTGGGACTGGTGCTGCTAGACTAGGTAGTGATGCTGCCAATGGGACAGATGTCTCAGCATGATTCCTAGGCGGGGTGGAAGAGGCAGGTACTGCGTGGACTCGCCTCAGGAAATCTAAACCCGTCAGACCGCGGGACCTAGAGGCAAGGGCGGGCTCAACAGGGGCCTGACTACAGCTGCCAACCCTATCAGGCTCCGCCATGGCGATGGGCGGGCAGCAATGCCCAAACGCATGGGCGGCGGCAGAAACAGATCGACGAGGAGGAAAGGCAGTGTCTCTCAGTTTGCTGGTGACCTAAAAGCACAGCTGTATGAAGCTGGGTGTGCAAGAGACGCGTGGTAGGGAAGGGCGTTTCAGGTGCAGCAACAATAACGGAATTGGACGAAGCGGTGCGAAGAGGGACGGAATTGGAAGGGATGTCCATGCAGGATTCGTTCGACCAATCGAACTTTCGTCCCTGTCTGCAAATAGCCCGGCGTTTGCAGCGTGCATGGTGCGCTGGACTATACAGTGCCTTTGCGGCTTGGGCAGAAGTCCATTCCCTGCCAGCGAAGCCCAGGAAACGCGCATGAAGGTGGGTGTTAGTGCGATTCCTAGGCATCTTCAACGGGAATCTGGGGATAAGCCTAGTATCGTCCCCTGTCAGTACAGAGGGGCTGTATCAGGGCTGTCCCCGCTAATACCCTGAGGCCTCAGGGCTTGGCGAAGCTGAACACTCTGAAATAACAGGGCCGCGTACGACATACATCATGAAATTTCAGGCCAAACAAAAAGAATACCCTAAAATCTCAGGGCTCACGAACAGACCACACCCTGAAAATCAGGCTTTCAGGGTATTTCACCCTGATATCTGAGGGCCTGCTCTAAACACACAAATCTAATGCGATGCGATTCGACGTTAGATGCTTAATTGCTAAAAGCACAAGGGACGAATAAGCAAATTTACAGCCTGACAGTTACTTGATACACGCCCCAAAAACATGAAATAAAAGATAAGGATGAGGATTACAATAAGCAGAAATCACAAAAACCTATCACATATTCCTCATTACAGAATATCTCATCCCCCTTTAGAAGTAAAAGAGTGACGCAATTCTATTTTCTGAAGCCTTTAAGGGAATAACAAAGAGGCGCATAACGAAGCGCCCGCTTCTGCCTGTGGTCCCTCATCCCAGCAGAAGCTTGGGCCATCACCTAAATTCCTCTGTTCACTCTCGTACGGCAACTGTCGTTACGATCGCTTTCGTACACTCACCTCAGATTCCTACTGTGGGCCGAGGGCGAACTCGGCCGCTCTTGCAGATCGGCTACTATTTTCCCGTGCTTTGCGCAGCTTAGCTATTGCAGCAGCTCTATAGGTCGACGAGGCGGACCGGATCAGGTGGCTTGGCCAAGGCTCGTGCACGCTTGGGGGCTGGGACTGCGAACTGGGCCTAGCTAGCGAGTGTTCGTTCGACGGGCGGATACCTGCGTGGCGGATAGCTATTGGCGCAGACGTCACCACTGTCCTCCCTCCGCCATTCCCGCGCGTCGCGGGTGCCAGTGGGAGCACAGCGTGGTACAGCGCAGCGCCACGTGGCACAGGGACAGGGGGAGCGCTGTTGCTGCTACAGCTTGCTGCTGCTATGCCACCGTCCGCTCAGTGACCTCGTTCCCCGCGCCTGCGGTGTCCTGTCCTCGCGCCCTTCGTTTCGACAAGTCCTCCCATCCCAGTCGCTGGTCGTGGATCCCATCCCATCCCATCCCATCCCATCCCGTCCCATCGCGCGTTGCTTCCGAGTCTCGAGTCGGCACAAGACTACTCAAGACTGCTCAACAGCATCCCCGGCGCCATGGTGCTCGTGCTCGCGCTGGGCGACCTGCACGTGCCGCATCGAGCGGCGGACCTGCCGGCCAAGTTCAAGAGCATGCTGCTTCCCGGAAAGATCCACCACGTGCTGAGCCCGGGGAACCTGTGCATCAAGGTGCGTCTCTAATCCGAATGACCCACGCGCACGACGCACGCGCGCCTCAAGGTGCGAGAGCGATACGTGATCCGTTCGGTTTAGAACCGCGCGAACATGGGTAGAACGATGGGGGAATTACTTTTTCTAGGCGCCTCAAGAATAGACACAGTGTACAATGCAGTCCGTCGCCCGTCCCTAGTCTCGCATGCTCGAATGGCGACGTACCCTTACCGTTCCTGCAGTCCGTTACTGGCGTCGCTGCCGGCTCATTGCTCATCTCCCGACCCCCTTCTGTTGCCTCCCCACCATTCCTTGTTCACCCCCTCTCCCTTTCCACTTGCCTCCCCGCTTTCCCCTTTCCGTTTTCCCCCTCCTCGCTGTCCCTGCTTAACCTAGCTGTCTGTATCGGCTCCTCTATAACGAGTCGCTCAACTAGCTGTCTATATCGAGGCACCTCACAAGCCGTGCAGGAGCCTCGATATAGACGGCACTCACAACCACTCACATTCACCGTTGCCTTTCAGTCTATGACCCTTACATCTGCTTATCTCCCAGCACGTTAGCACCTCCCCCCTCCTTCCGTCCCTCCCCTTGTGCGTCAACTCCCCCCTCCTCTCTGCCTCCAGCTTACCATCTCGCTCCCCTCTCGCCGTGCTGCACTCTCCTCGTCTCCCCCCCCCTCTCTCCCCATGCTATTCCTGCACTCTGCCTCACAACACAGTGCACATCAGGATTCTCCATCCCATGCCCCGCACCCACCCCTCTCCCCCTCTCCTGGATGCTTCAACACGCTCCATATTTGCCCGCTCTTTCTGTAACCCTCGCCGCCTGATCCACCCCATGGCACCCCACGGCAGCAGGGCACGAGTTCCCAGCTCCCTCGTCCTGTGCCCAATGCGATCCCTCATGCCCTTCCGTGCATCCCCCCTCCATGGCAGGAGGTGCACGAGCACGAGCATCCATCCCGTTTTACTAAGTTCGTCCACCTTCCAAGTGCCTCGCGCCCTTTCCCCTCCGCCATGCCAGGAGGCGCACAAGTACCCACTCATCCTCCTGCCCATGTCTTTCTCCTTTCACTCCCCCCCTTCACCCGCCTCCCCTCCCGTCCTCCCTAACGCCAGGAGGCTCACGAGTACCTGCGTTCCGTCTGCCCCGGCGTGCATGTGACCTGGGGGGAGTATGACGGCGAGGCACAGGGGGTGCACGAGTGCCCAACTCATCAACCTGCCTATTGCCTCTCCTTCCCCTTCCAATTCCCCAACCTCTCCTCCTGCCCTCCTCCCTCCTCCCCCCCTCCCCTCCTCCCCAATGCCAGGAGGTGCACGAATACCTTCGGTCCATCTGTCCGGACGTGCATGTGACCCGGGGGGAGTATGACGACGAGGCGCAGTTCCCTGAGACCAAGGTTGTGGTGGTGGGCGGCTTCAGGATCGGCCTGTGCCACGGCCACCAGGTCAGTGATTCTTAGTTGCGTTCTTTTCAATTTTGATGTTGACCTTTTCTTCAGAGGTCTTCAGGCTGGTTGAACGCACAGGGTTGAAGTGCTTTGAGAGGGTTGGGATACAGGCGTGCAGAGAGGAGACGTGGGGATTTTAGGGAGGGGCGCTAGGAAGAAGAGAGTGAGGAGGGGAGGATGGATGGAGATATGGTGGTGGGTGGATGCATTGGAGGGGAGTCTGTTGTCGTGCGGCAACCATCTTTACAGGATTCTCTACCTTCCACGATCTCATCCCTCTGATTCTCTCCGCCCCCCTAGCCATCCTAACCCGTATTGTTTTCAGGTGATTTTATGGAAGACCGAACAAGGGGGTTGGGCACTATTGATTGAATCACCCCTTTTCCATACCATACCACTACCTAATGCCTCCGGGTGATCCCATGGGGGGACGTGGAGTCCCTGGCCATTCTGTATCTGCAGATGGGCATGGATATTTGGATCACCGGACACACGCACCGCTCCTCTGCTCTGCACGCTGCTCCTGCCTCGCCAGATGGGCTCATCGGCATGCTTCTCTGCTCTTCTCCTCCCTCTCTTCCCTCCCCTCTCCTCCTCTCCTCCCTCTCCTCATTCTCCACCCCTCCCCCTCCCCCTCCCCGCTTGCCCATCCCCACCACCCGACTTGTCCAGGTGATCCCTTGGGGCGACGTGGAGTCCCTGGCCATGCTGCAGAGGCAGATGGGGGTGGACATCCTGATCACCGGCCACACGCACCGCTTCAAGGCCTACCGCCACCAGGGCAGGCTGCTTATCAACCCGGGCAGTGCCACCGGCGCCTACACTCCCACCACTGCCACTGCTGCTGCTGCTGCCGCTGTTTCCGGCACTGTTGGTGCTTGTAGTGACACTGCTGGTGATGCTGGTGCTGCCGCTCCTACCGCTGCTGCTGCTGCTGCTGGTGGTGCCACCCCGTTGCACCCGAGTTTTGTGCTGATGGATGTGGATGGGGCGCGCGTGGTGGTGTACATATACGAGCTGGTGGGTGGCGATGTCAAGGTGGATAAGATCGAGTTCAAGAAACCCACTGCCGGGGCTGTGGGCGCACAGTGAGGAGGAGGGGGGAGCAGTTAGGGGGAGTGGGGCGGCAGTGGGGAAAGAGGGGGGGAAGTGATGGGGAGTAGGGGGCAGTGAGAGGGAGTGCAGGGCAGTGAGGGGGAGTGGGGGGCAGTGAGAGGGAGTGGGGGGCAGCGAGGGGGAATGGGGGGCAAGTGAGGGGAAGGGCGGGGCAAGAGGGAGGGAGGGGTCAAGTGAGGGGGAGTGGGGGGACAAGTGAGGGGGAGGGGAGGGGAGATGGTGACGGTGGCGGTGACGATGTCAATGGTCCACACACTGCAAGCATGCTATCCACCATACCCACCCACCACCATATCTACTTGCTTACATATTTACAGCAACACAACAATCCCTCTCTGTAGAATGCTTAACACAGTACGTGATGTCAACGAATAAACATAAGGTAGTTCCTAGTGTGTATTTTGTCAGATGTAACTTAGGTTGTTACTGTAGACTATACTGGATTGTGCCTTAGAGGGTACAACACCCTAGTCTGTATACCCTTGTACTTACACTTTCTAGTTCAATTATTCTTGCTGATATGGTATCATAGTAGGTTAGGTTCCCCCCTAGCCCGCTCACGCTTCTGCTCCCTAGGCCCTAGCCACCGCCGTGCCCCGCTCCTAGCCGGCCCTCCTGGCCGTCGCGCTCGTCCCTAGCCGTCCCCCTGGCCGTCGCGTCCGCCCCTAGCCGGCCCCCTGGCCGTCGCGTCCGCCCCTAGCTGGCCCCCTAGCCGTCGAGTCCGGCCCTAGCCGGCCCCCTAGCCGTCGCGTCCGGCCCTACCCGGCCCCCTGCCCGTCGCGCCCGTCCCTAGCCGGCCCCCTGGCCGTCGCGCCCGTCCCAAGCCGGTCCCCTGGCCGCCACGCTCGTCCCTAGCCGGCCCCTTGGCCGTCGCGTCCGCCCCTAGCCACCCCCCTGGCCGTCGAGTCCGCCCCTAGCCGGCCCCCTGGCCGTCGCGTCCGCCCCTAGCTGGCCCCCTGGCCGTCACGCCCTCCCCTAGCCAGCCCCCTGGCCGTCGCGTCCGCCCCTAGCGGGCCCCTTGGCCGTCGAGCTCGTCCCTAGCCAGCCCCCTGGCCATCGCGTCCGCCCCTAGCTGGCCCCCTGGGCGCCGCGCTCGTCCCTAGCCGGCTCCCTGGCCGTCGCGCTCGTCCCTAGCCGGCCCCCTGGACGTCGCGTCCGCCCCTAGCCGGCCCCCTGGCCGTCACGTCCGCCCCTAGCCGGCCCCCTGGCCGTCGCGCCCGTCCTTAGCCGGCCCCCTGGCCTTCGCGTCCGCCCCTAGCTGGCCCCTTGGCCGTCGCGCTCGTCCCTAGCCGGCCCCCTGGCCATCGCGCTCGTCCCTAGCCGGCCCCCTGGCCGTCACGTCTGCCCCTAGCCGGCCCCCTGGTCGTCGCGTCCGTCCCTAGCCGGCCCCCTGGCCGTCGCGTCCGCCCCTAGCCGGCCGTCGCGTCCGCCCCTAGCCGGCCGTCACTCCTGCCGTCGCGGCCGCCCCTAGCCGCCGTCGCGGCTGTCCCCGGCCGCCGTCGCGGCCGTGGCTCCTCGCCGTCGTGGCCGGCCTTACTCGCCGTCGCGCCAGCTCCTCGCCGGCCCCCCTTTGTCGCCGTTTGCTGGCCCCCCGCATTTGCCGTCCGCCGGCCGGCTCCTGCATTCGCGTCGTCGCCAGCCCGCCGCCGCCTCGGGTTCGGCCCGTTCTTCCCGATCAGCACCGCCCTGCGAACCTCCCCCCCGGTACCGTACTCAACCGCACTACACCGCACTGTACTGCACTATACCGTACTGCACCGCACTGTCGCACTGTACCGCATTGCACCGCACTAAACCCCACTATAACGCACTGCACCGTCCTGCACCACACTGCACTACCCGTGCGGTACTGCACTGCACCGTACTGCCCTCTATTGTCACTTATAGCGGAGGTGCTTCGCTTTGACGCTTAGGGCCAGCCGATTGAGTTTGATGCGTGGCTTGCTGACCTTCGTCGCCACCTCACTGGTCAGCGGCAGGATGGCCACTCTCTGTTTGTACATCTTGACGGTACCCTCCCCTGGCCTGACCCCCCCGTTGCACTATCTCCTGACCCCTCGTCCGCTGAGCGAGAGTCCGCTGCGGCCGCTGCCCTTGCTCCCTCTGTCTGGCTGTCCCGTGACGCTGTCGCACAGCTTGCTATTAGTAATGCCCTCCCCCTGTCCGAGCGACCTCGCTTCAGGTCTATCACCACTGCCCAGGCTTTCCTATATGCTGTTGTCCAGCGCTATTCCACCCTGCCTGCTGCCTCGGTAGGTCGCCTGATCCTCCCCGTGCTCTTCCCTGACCTTGCGTCGTTCCCCACAGTCGCTGACCTGGCCGCCCACCTGCGCACTATAGACGAGACCTGGCGCGCTGCCTGCAATGACACACAGCTTCGCCCTCACCAGCCGCCCTCTGCTCTACTCTCTACCTGCTTGGTCACCCGCCTTCCTAACCGCCTTGCCACTGCTCGCGACCGCTTCCTTAGCGTCCACCCCGGAGACCTCACCCCTACTGACTTTGTTGACACCCTGTCCGTTATAGAGGCCCGCCACCGCTCTATCGCCCAGACCAACGGTACTGTGCCGATCCCTATCTTTCGGGGTTGCGCCCCCGCTCAGTGCAGCTTCTCTGACGGCTTTGCTGCTGTAGGTGGGACTGCTACTGTAGCACAGGTCCGTCTGGGGAAGGGTCGCCGCCCCAAGGCGGGGCGTGGCGGTGGGGGTGGGGGTGCAGGTGTAGGTGGTGCGGGAGCTGGGTCCCCTGGTGGTGGTGTGGACGAGGTGACCCTGAGAGGTGCTGCCGAGCAGCCGTCTCAGCAGCCGCCGGTGTTGCCGCCGGACCCGCAGCAGCCGCAGCAACCACAGCAGTCGCAGCAGCAGCCGAGACGGGCGAGTGGTCTCACGCCCGGGTGGCCTGACGCTGGTGGTAGCGCTAGACGTGGTGGTGGTGCGCGTGGTGGGCTGCCGGGTGGCGGTTCGGGTGCCGCGCTTTGTCAGTACCTGCTCCAGACCGGTCCTCGCCGTGTCTTCGTTTGCGGTAAGATCGGCCACACCTCCGACAGCTGTTTCCGTTGCTTGGACGACCTGTTTCGTCAGCGCTTTGGCCCGTCGCCCGAGCTCCCAGACTGGCACAGCTTGCTTCGTCGTAGGGTTCAGATTTTTGATCTGGATATGGATGACATTGTTACTGCTCTGCATGTGATGTATGCTGATGACCCTGCTTCCGTCTTATTACCCTTTGTTGCCTAGTGTAGGCGTGCCTTGCTTAGACTCCCTTGCTGCGTCAGGCGTAGGATCCCCTGCTTTTTTTAGCCTTGGTGCTTCCGTCGCTGCTTCGCCTCCGGCCGCCACTGCCGCGCTCTCCTTCACCCTCAACTCTGGCGCATCCTGGTGCTTCTTCCACGACTCTACCACGTTGACACCGCTCCCTGTCCCTGCCGCAGTCTCTCTTGCCGACCCCTCCTCCGACCCCATCGTTGCCCACAATTCCACCACCCGCCCCTGCCCGGCGTTTCCCTCGTTCTCCAGGAACCTAGTTGGTGTCGGCCGCCTTCAGGACCTTGGCGTCACCACTACGTTCCCTGGTCACGAGCGGTACGGTGTCTATACTGAGGCCGCCACTGGTGCCCCCCTGTCCACGTTCCCACGGGACCCAGTGTTCGGTCTTTTCACACTGGACACGGTGACCCCCCCGGCTAGGACCCCCCCTCAGGTGGCTGCGTCCCTCAGGTTGCTGCTGCCTGCTTCTGTCGGTCTCTCACCCACCCGACCATTCTCTTGCACCACCGCCTAGGTCACCCTGCGCTCCCGCGTCTGCGTCACATGTCACAGCACGGTCTCGTCCTAGGCCTCCCCGGGTCGTTCCCTAAGTTTCCCTCCTCCCCAGCCCCACCTTACACGCCCTGTGTCGAGGGCCGGCTCCGCCGTGCCCCTCACTTCTCCTCATTTCCCCCTACTGCAGCACCGCTACAGACTCTGCACATGGACGTCTGGGGCCCAGCCCCCGTCCATGGGCCGCATCGAGGGCGCTACTTCCTAGTGCTTGTCGTCGAGTACACGCGCTACACCACTGTGTTCCCCTTGGAGCGGAAGGCTGACGTGCCTGCCGTTTTTATCCCGTGGATTGTCGCTGCGCGTGTCCACCGCGGTCTCCCTGTCTTGCGCCTCCACTCAGACCGTGATGGCGAGTTTGCCTCTGGTGTCCTTGGTCGTTTCTATCGTGTGGAGGGCATCACCCAGACGTTCACCTTGCCGGACTCCCCGCAGCAGAATGGGGTCGCTGAGCGACGCATAGGTTTGGTCATGGAGGTGGCTCGCACCTCCATGATCCATGCCGGTGCACCCCATTTTCTGTGGCCGTTCGCCGTTCGCTACGCCGCTCACCAGCTTAACCTGTGGCCGCACCCCCAGCAGCCTCAGGTTTCGCCGACCCTTCTTTGGTCTGGGTCACCTGGTGACGCGTCTGCGTTCCACGTATGGGGCTGCCTTGCTCACGTTCGTGCCTCTGGCACGGACAAGCTCACTGCCCGCACCCTTCCCTGTGCCTTCCTCAGCTTCCCCCTTGACACGTCTGACTGGCACTTCTACCACCCGCAGTCTCACTGGTTCTTTTACTCCCGCGACGTCACATTTGACGAGTCCGTCTCCTTCTTCCATTGCTTCCCCCACCGCGGTCCCCCGGTTACCCCCCCCTGTTCCTGGTCACCCCTTCCCCGGTCATCGCCGCCCCTCTTTTCCCCCTCCCCGTCCTGCCCCCTCTGGTGTGTCCCACGTCACCCCACTGACGTCGGTTGTCCCGGTTGAGGAGTTTGCTGACTCTGGTGGTCCTGCGGCGTAGTCCTCGCCACCAGCCCCTTCTCAGGTGTCTCCTCCTCCACCGCCTCCGAAGCCACCGTCGCCAACGCTGTCGCAGCCGTCGTCACCGCCGCCGCCGCCACCGCCGCCGCAGCCGTCGTTGCAGCCGCTGCCACCGCAGCCGTCGCCGCAGCCGTTCGTTGGCTCTGGGGGTGCTGGAGTTGGGTTGGGTACTAGTCCTGGGACTCCTGTCATGGCTTGTCCCGGCGGGCCTGGGGGTGGTACCGGTGCTCGAGGGGCTCTGAGCTCTGGAGGTGTTCCTTCTGGGGGTGCTTGCGTGGAGTGTTCTGCAGGTAGCCGCCAGCCAGCTTGCGGTCCCGGTGTCGGTGTTACACCGCCGCCGCAGCAGTCCCCGCCGGTGTCCGCTCTTCGCCTGCTCGGCCTTCCGTCCCCTGACCCCGTGCCTGTGCCTCCTCCTCCTCCTGTCTACGGCCCTGTGTTCCCTCCTCCGTACTCGTCTCCGGCCCGTTTCCCCCCTCGTTCCCCTCTTGTGTCCCCTCCTCTGTCTCCTGATCCGACTCCTTCGTCTCACGTCTGGTCTCGCCGTCCCTCCCGTGCTCGCCTTGTCTTCTTTGTCTCGCGCTTTCACCCTATGTTGCTTCGTTCCCACGCGTCTCATCCTCCTCTTCTCCCGTCGCCCTCTCCGTCCTCCCTTGTCGTTGCTCCCAC